TGTTTCGGGAACCACTGCCTAAAAAACCTGTTTTTTGTCAATACTTCAATATGTACTTGAAAATTCAGAGCAGAAATTTCAAAGCCTGTAAAGCTTTTACTGATTGAGATCAAAGTCGTTCTACAGTAAATTACTTTAAACGACTCAACACTAGCGTCCGGTTACTTAGTTTGCCAACAGCACATGTCCAAAAAAAATATTTCAGCAACAGGCGAGACGGCTCAACAGTTTCAACGCTATCCTCCAATTCACTGGTGTTACTGACCAAGCTATATGGCCCTATGTTCACTTCTGTTTTGGGCCTTATGGCAACTGGATACATATACCCACTTTTCACATTCAACTAGAAAAGGCTTGCTAAATAGTTCCAGAAAGGAAGCAATAAGAAGAAATAAGATGTTTACCCCGAGGAGCTTCTTCTCATGTGGAACAGCTTTCTGGAGCGGTACGGGAGGAAAAAACGAAAATCGGGAAAATTCTTTGGAACTCTTCAAGTTTTCGACATGATAAAGACGATTAAACATCCAAGACTGATGGCGAAGTATGTTCGAAAGGAAACTGAATCTGCTATCTTTTCCACACATTAGGAACGCGTAGTTGCTAAAAATCACTTGTAGTTAAAGGTTTCATAACGATACCACAACAACTTACTGCAAATCCGCCAAATTTTGAAGACGAACCGCGCGGATAAAAATGTGACTATCTCAACCGCTCCATACTGAAACAAAGTATTTTTACTGTAACAGCATATGTGCATAATTAATGTGCGAAGAAGAGATTCTAACATCTGAGACTCCTGCAAAGGAACTGGTAGTATACCAACAATTATAGGGCTGGCTCTATCCTTTTCTCCTGACTCATCAGCTGAAACCACTATCAAAAACTTATATGAAATTTTGAAAAAATAGAGTAGTCAAATCGATGATTAAAGTCTAGTATACACAAACTTGCAGATGAAGCAACTCTTCTTAGGACTAAAGGATTAAGATTTCTACTGATCATTTCTCTATTTCCAAACAACAGTTTAACAGGTAAAGCGCTTCCAAATTTCTTTCCAATAGGAAACAACGACTCAAAAGTGGCACGGTATGCATCAATGTTCCGCATGTGTTGCCTTCGCTGGTTTCTTGCAAAATCCTGTAAACTATGTTACTTGTAAAGAGTTGACTAAATTTAATTCACTGAAAAAAACTGGAAACCTCAAAGACAAAGACACAATATTTCAAAAAAATGAAAGTAGAAAATGAAAAAATTGACCTTCCAGCAGCGACGGAAACGAATCAAAGACTCAAGTAAACAAAAACAAACCCCCAGATATTCTCGAATTCCATACATCCAAAAGACGATGAAGAATGAAAAAAGAAAAAAAAAACAGCTCTATTCGGTGAATTTGTTTTATATTAACATCCATAAATTAAAAACACTCCTCAAAAAATCCCTTCCCGTTGTACCACCGATCAGCACCACAACTGAACGTAACAGACAACAGCTGCACAAAGATCCTACCCTTAATCTACCAAATTGCATATAAAAGAGATTAGAATTTTGTCACACAACTTTGACAATAAACCACATCTCCCGTAATGAAAAGCAAAGGAAGTATCTCATAAAAAATTATCAGTATTATTAAAAAATTCAAATTGAATCCCGCTATCCCTACCATTTCTTAAATTGAAACAAAGTAAAATTCTTCTCAGTACCTCACTGACTAAAAAATAACACTCTCTCCGGAATACTTTCAATCTTCTTTAATCCCAACTGTAAGAATAAAAGCTTTAGGTAAAATATAAATGTTCTTCAACCTTCATACGTTGAGCATATAACTGAGATGTTTCAATAAGGGAAAGGCTGCCAACATGACGGTCCAGTAGTCGTTCTGCGATATTAACCGAATGCATGTTGAAGAGTGCAACAGATAACTCAGAGAGGGAAATTTTTGATGAAGATCTTTCCTTAATTCGTTCGAAAATGAGTGCTGCAAAATCTTTTCTTACTGAAGCTTAGGAGCAAGCCCAAATGAAGCAGTATTTCAGAACCTAAGTATCAGAAAGGACACTCGGGTATTAAATTTCTTTTCTCTTCCATGAACTTACTTTCAGCATCTTCATCTATAACGCCCACACCTACGGACTTTGCCTGCTTAACTTCACTATCGTGTAGGTACGCATCATGACGAGAAACTGATTTCGGAAGCACTTTCAACTGCGGAAAGTCACCACCTATTACGCAATTCGCCTCGTTATTCTGCAACCTTCAGACACTTCGGTTCCGACATACATGGAGGTGCGCAAATAACACATGAACGTTATTATAATAAGAAACATCAGGAACAAACTGTGCTGTAAAAACTGATGTATTGTACTTCTGAAAAAAAACGGTACCGTGATTTTCAATTCACCTTAGGAGAACCTGTTTCTGAGAAGACAATACTGCTACTGTCCTTCGTCCTTCTATAAGTCGTACCACTTCTCGCACTAAATCCTAGCCGACCCGACGGAAGCATTGAAAAGCAAAAGTTTCTCACATCAAAAAGTAAACGTTTCACCCACATAGGTGAGGCTAGTATTATGGTGCCATACAACCTTTTGCACACGCTGAAATATTTGACAATCTTAAGCTTTGTAGTTCCAGTGATTCGGCAGACCAGCATTTCGCGCCAAACGATCTTTAACATCTCCTTAAAAGTAAATACAATCCTTGTTTCCTCCAACACAAATTAATCGTTATAAGGTTAAATTCAAACCAGAACTGACGAGTGTAATGTACCAAGCAACGAATATTGTACTGTAACTTGTAGCTGAGAAACTCACTTTCGTTAAGCTCTTTCATTTCCAGCCTACCACCGGGGATTTCACTGAAATAAAATGGATGTACTTCTGGAACAATTCCAACTCTTCAGAAGCAAGGCTTTATACGAATATGGTTCCGGGTCGGTTCCCATTCGTTCAGGATACTCGTTCTGCAAGGACCGTACGCTCATTGTGATGCTGAAAGAATAAGCAGTTGGACTAAGCTGTTCCGACTAAAGATCACTAATCGCGTTTTTGAGTTACTTGTCTTTCTTTTCTTCTCTTTTGTGTATTTCATGTTCTCCGTACAAACATGCTGCAATTTGGAAGACACTTCGTCCAATCAGGATGTCCGTTCTGGAACCAACCTGCGCCCATTAGAAAATTCTAAGAATGGACTGTTCAACTATATTAGTTCCGCTAGGGCCAGGGTCTGATTTTTAGGGTTATGTGTCGTTCTTTTATTCCTCTTCGTGTTTTTTGTACTTCCCGATAAATTTTTTGCTCAAAAAAAGAAATACTATTAGATTTTATCATGGATATGCTTACTAGATCTATTCGCTACAGCGGGAAGCGCCTGGATCGAATAAATTCGAAAATTGCTAATGAGCGTATTACTTTTCTGAAGAGATTCAGAAGTTGAAGTTTCTTTTGAAATTGTTTTCTGTGCACCTGTCCTTGCACATCAATTCTGACATGATCTTCGTGCCTATTTTCTGCTTTTAACCTTAAGTAAGAGTGTTTCTGTTAATTTGTAAGGTGATTTATGAGCCATCCTGGTTTTGTTGCGTGGGAGCTAGACGAGTTTGAAATTTTTCATGTATTCAATCTCTTCGTTTTCAATTGCGGTGGCGCTAGTGAAGTAGCGCAAGAAATGCACTCTCCTACAGTACCAGAGCCACTAAAACAAAATCAGCATTTTTTGGATAAAACCATATGTACGGACCCCAAGCTTTTTATGAAACGTAGCGTAATTTTTACGGCTTTTTTTTTGTTTTGAGCTGTTTATTCCTCAATATTGTACTTTTCCGAAGGTAATATCAAGATGTTTCTGAAAAATCTTCAGCTTCGAAATTTTAGCTTTATTTTTTTTAAAGTTCTGTCGAGGATTTTGTGGAACTAGAGTCCCAAAATCGCAGAATCACAATGCAGTAGTCACATCAAAAGTCTCATAAAATGTCCTTTTTGTACTGTCTGCAGCGTTGTCGACAATGGTTTTCTTCAAGCAGTAACTGCTTATTTTTCCTCTTATCCACTACTTTGAGAAGTTTTATTGAAGGAATTCTATTGAGCGGAGGAAATGCATTTTTCTGCACAGTTCTACTTGGCTTCTGTGTGGAAGAACTTTTTATTATGATAACAACGGTATTAGTTTGAATCAGTAATTAAGAACAACACAAATTTTTGAAACTTTCTCCTCAAGTGTCTTTGCTGTTTGCTTGTGACAGTCGTAACTTCATTACGTCCAATAGTTTAACCACCTTCCACTTTTGGTAGGCAACTGCAGAAACAAATTGCATTAGAATACGAGGTAAAAAAATCTGTCTTGCATGACACGATTGGTCGATATTAAAGATGTAATCTTGTCTTCTAAAGTTATATTTAACCGGAAAGCAGGAAAGAGTAGTTAGATAAGTTATTTAAAGTTTTCACCTTTTCTCGAACTGTTTTTTATTCTTTAGACATGAAAAAATGAAGTTCTGTTTAGCATAGATAG